GAGAGAGAGAGAGAGAGAGAGAGAGAGAGAGAGCGAGCCCAAAGACTCTACTTACTTAATATGGGGTCTTAGTGACAATCATATTAAGGATAGTTACCTTCTTTGGGTTGAGCCATAACTGGAGTCTGAGTTTCCTTGGTATATGTGACAATTTCTCGAGGAGGAAAATCAACTTGTGTAATTTTGGCCATTCCAAGCTTAATAGGTCCCCGTCTAAATTAAGTGAATACAAATGTTCTTAAATACAACAAATGATATAATTTAACTATGTCAAACCTTGTTATTTTTGAAAATTAAGAATTAAACATTCATGTATATCTAACATTGTAATTTAAACCTGTTTTATTCAAGAAATTTTAGATGAACAATAAGTTAGCTTTAACAAAAGAATCAGAAGGTAGCAAAAACGTATTTCTGAATCATCTGGGGTATTTATTGTTCACTCTAGTGTATGTGCTGCCAAAGTGATCACTTATTTTTTACTTTAAAAAGGTAAATAATTTCATTTCTGAGAACAAAAGTGTGGGTCATAATAGAATAAGAGGACAGAAATTTCAGAGTAGATTGCGGAATAAGGTTAGTTACAAGAACTGTTTTTAGCTGAGATATGACTCTAGATTTTAGATACATGGATCTTGGACCATATTTAATTCTATTCACCATTAAAAGACTCTAAGACTGAAAACTGGGCTTCTGTTGAGAGCCTTTATTTTACTTATGTGTGGCAGAAACTGAGAAGCCCCTGTTAATCTGAATTTCAAAATGAAATGTTTAAAACTTTTAAATCTCTAATCTCTACAAACTTAATACTGTCCTTGATTCACAGCAGACAAACTAAGATCCAGATATTCTAACATTAAAGCAATAGATCTTCTGAATATAACAGAGCTACTAAAGTTATTTCGGTTTTAATAAGATGGAAGAAATACATTATTTTTTGATAGAAGACAAGAGTTTCAGCTGGGGAAAATAGATCAAAAGAAAAATATCTTTTATTAGCTACCTGGGGGCTTTTTACTTATTATATTAGATATTTAAATTATAAACTAAAGTATGCTCCCAAACTGCCAAAATTCTCAATTATATAATGTTTTAAAAAGGCTATCCAATAAAGATTGCAACATTGTTGCAATTTCCAGAATATATATATATATATATATATATATATATATATATATATATCACTGGTAATATACTTTTTTTTGGTAATATACTTTTTAACAAATATATACAAACATTTGTCTAATTTTATTTATAGCTAAATTCAAATCCTGTACAAAAGAATGTAAAGGAATTAGTAATTTTAAAAATTAACTAGCTCCAACATCCCTAATATGGGCCATAAGAAAATTTAAATGTGTTTTCTACTTTAAGAATATTAGCCTTTAAAGAAAAAAAAGTCTAAGCAAAGAATTAAATGGAAATTTTAAGTGCATTTCAAATAATATAGACTATTCTGAAAAATATTTGAACTTTATTTGAAGAACTTTATTTGAAATAAAGAACTTTAAATTCTGACTTTTTAAGATGTAAACTATATAAAAAGCCAATCACTCACATATCTGGAGAAAATTATCAAGCCAACAGTATTAAGAACAAGTTACCAACTTGAATGCATATATATAGTATAATAATAAAAAACCCACAATATTAAAACACATAAAATATTCCAAGAGTCTGAAAGAGGAGGAGAGTAAAAAGGTAATACCTCACTTATCTAAAAGCCACTTTTATTGAAAACAAGTAAATAACGGGAGGGGAGAGGGAGAAGCCTCAGGATACTCAATAGTGAGGCCTTCTCATTAGTGTGGATGATGCTCATGTATTTTTCTTATATGCCTTCATTCAAGACTTATTTACTCTTGCTTTTTGGATACAAAAAGTTACGGCTGGGGCCGGGGATTTAGCTCAGTGGTTCCGCCGCCCAAGCGGAAGGATCCAAGTTCGATCCCCGGTACCAAAAAAAAAAAAAAAAAAAAGTTACAGCTACACAGTTTAGAAGCTGCAGATTGTTAGAGGAAAGGAGCTACCTGAGGCAGGCACGAACTTAGCAGCAAGTATTTAGTATTTGCATTCGAACCCAGAATAAATAAATAAATAAGCAAATAAATAAATACTGTAGAGACCAACATCTCTGTTACTCTAAAAACTTTAGACTCATAAATGAATTTTACACTTGATCTTAGCCAAAAGGCCGAGAAGCAATCATCATAAATGAATTTTAACACAGGAAAATTAATTCTTATATTAAGTAATTCAGAGAAGTTTCAATTACATATACACCGTATGTTAGAAAAAGACTGGGAAAATTTTAGTTCATCTTGGGAAAATTTATGTCAAATAATACAGAAATAATAGAAAGAATTTTGGCACCTAAATGAGTAGGCTCATGGTACCTAGAAAATCACATACATAGAATATTTTTTCACTAATGATACAGGATAAATGAGGTGTAAAAATAGAACTCTTGTTCTAATTATAAACTACAATATTAGAAACAAGCCAAGTAAAAAGGACGATTTCACAAAGAATCAAATTAATTATAAAAGAGGGAAGGTAATAAATCTATTCAATACCCCAAATCGGAATCTGAGTGAAGCTGAAGAACTGATGGATCTGTATCCCAATGCAGCGTCCTAAATGGTTGTAGGCCATGAAGCATTAGTAAAAAAGGCCATAAGTTAGTCAAGCAAATACATTCATACTATAGCTAAAGCTAAAGTACTGTTCACAATTAAAAAAACACATATTCTGGTTAGTACAAAAAAAGGAAGGGGAAGAGGGAGAGGGAGGGGCAAGAAAGACATAAACTAGGTATCACTCAGTGTTCTAGTGCAGCAATAATATGGTTAATAATAATAATTTGGTTAAAGATGCCAGAATAGTTGAAAAAATTTTCAGATTATGGGAAACTAATACTATGTACTAATGAACAAGAACAGCTAGTGCAGATAACAACCCATATATTAATTGTTAATTAATAAGCTAGGCTATAAAATAGCTAGAATTTTGGGATTCCCAATAAAAAAAATTAGTAAAAACATTTCAGTTAACATAGTCTAATCTTGCTCAAAGCATTAAATGTGTGCAGGAAATTGTCATATTGGTAAAGGAAATGAGTCAACACATAAGCCTTTCGGTAAGAAAACCAAAGACTATCCCACTGGGACACAAAATAGCTAAAGTTTCCAAAATGTGACCCTGCTGTAATTTATGGGTTAAGCACTGCCTAGGGCTTATATGTCATCTGCTTTAGAAAACAACTGAAGATTTTTGGTCTCCAGAAAAAAAATAATTTTTTTTCCCTGGAAGAATATTTTATGTTCAAAGGTTCTACATAATTTTGGGACAATATCAATCCTAAATGTATATATTCAGTGACATGTTAGCATTTCCTCTTGGGTAAATATTTTACACAGGATCTTTTACACTTAAGCTAAATCTGGTCATTACTAGAACAAAAGGCAATTTATCATATTTGCATTTCTTACAGGTTAGCAATATTGTATAATGTTCATGGTTCCCATAAAAAAGTGTAATATTGTACTTAGTACTACCAATTTTGTCAAATATATTTGTTTTTCACAGAAGTTATAATACACAACTAACTTTAATTGCTACAGTATTTTAATACAAGTAATTTGTCTACTTTACCTGCCTATAAATTTATCAATAAAGCAATGAGATGGAAAGAGCTAGAGAAACCCTTCACTTAAAAAATATTAAAAAGATCTTAGAATTTAAACATGGTTGTACATATGCAATGAAAAAAAAAGCCACAGTGAAGACCTACTTTGTATTAAGCAATGAACAGCAACAAACTTAGGCTTTGTTAAACCAAAAAGAGTTCTATGAGATGGTCTCCAAGGAATGTTTGGTCAGTAGCCTTTACATTATATAAAGCTCTAGTTATTATCTATAACATAAAGCTCCTTGTTGAGAATGTCATTTCAGTCTAAGACCAAGTAAAACTTTACTTCAAAATCGAGCCAGTATTAAAATGCATTGATTATACACATCATCTTCAGTCATATAAAGTACAATTCCAATATAACCCAAAAACGTTAGTAACAAATTGATCAAAAATGGGAAAAGAACAAGTATGGTTTACCCAACTGACTGTCACCTAAATTTCAGAACAGAAGTGATTGAAAAAATGAACTAGAAACTCAATGGAATGCAATTTCCTAATCTGTAAAGTTAGAGAAATATCTCTTCTTACGGCCTTTTATATTTAGTCATAAATTGCCACCAGTTCCAACAGAAATTTTTGGCAATTATAAAGAATTAAGACATGTGTAGGTATCATATTTTGTAATGTATAATCCATCTTTTCTTTTTCTTTTGAAATGTATAATCCATCTTTTAATGTATAATGAAATGCATAATCCATTTCTTTTAATGTATAATCCATCTTTTTCTTTTGAGTGTACTAATCTTAGTCTGTCTTGGACAACTAACAAGAGTTGAGGGTACAGGTGCTTACATGTTACATATCTTCATGCATTTTCCTGCAATATTTCCTCTTATTGTTTTTATTCTTTCATTGTTTTCATTCTTTTTTATTCTCAGACCTTACTATTCTTTTTAAATGTCATGTATTTAGAAATGCATTATTTTACAATCAATCTACAATATTTTTTTCCCAATTATGGAATCTGGAGATGATTCAGCAGATTTCATAGTTTTCTAATATTTTTATGTGTAAAATGAATACACTGTGCCCTTTTGAAAATTTATGTTTCAAAATTAGTCAATGCTCTCACTAGAGACAATATATGTATTGAGAATTAGACGGGGGAGAGAAAGTAAAAAGAATTAAGATGTTACATACATGTACTAACTCCCCACAATGAATGTAATCATTATATCCTGCAAACATGTACTAATAAAAATAAATGTTAAAAAAGATTTAAGATATAAGATCATCTCATTCAAAAAAAGGATTTTTGTTACACTCAGAAAAAGCTAATTTTCTGTTCATTCTCTAAGAATAAATACCTCTAAAGATACTAAACTACTTATTTCCTTGCTAAAAGAATCTATACATTCAACATAACTTAGCATACTATCCTTACAACTTTTCAGTAAGTGAATATGCTTAAATTAATAACATTCAGCACTAGAATGCATGTTCTGTGAAAGCAGAGCCATAAAAATTTTATTTTCTGTGGTAATCTATAGTATTTAACACAAAGTTGGCATTTTGATGAATATTTGTTCTATACACAAGTATTTTTCTTATCAGTATTTATTCCCTGTATCAGTTTATATTCTAAAGGGACTCTGATAATCTCTAGGTTGTCCATGAAACTCAGGACATGTTTTAATTCGTATTAATTTTAAAAACTGGGTAGTTACATAGTACTTTTGAAAGCAAACTTGCTTCCAGTGCATTAAAATAATCTTTCTATTCCTATTCAAAATCAGAAATGAGTACACACATTATATATAGTATCTACATAAAATAACAATATAAAATAAATTTAATAAATATAGTATTTTTTTAATCTTGGGAAATACTTTGCTATGATAATGTTTGTTGTAGAAGAAAAAACTCTTCATTTGAAAATATCAGTTGCTTATTAGGTATTTAAAGGAATACTAACATTTGTGGGGACATTTTTTCTGGTGCTGGGGACAGAAGCCAGGGCCTTGAACGTGATAGCCAAGCACTGTACCTCTGGGCTATACTCTTGACCTCTGAATACTGACACAATCGCACAAAAAACACGTAAGTGATTTAGGTTAGTCTTCAGAATACATAATATTTAAAAAGTAATATTATTTTTAAAAAGAAAGTTTTGATTTTTTCTTGAATGAAAGAGTTATGTCATTGTCTCCAAAAGTTATGACAAGATCTGTAACTTTTGGAAAGCACATCTCAAATTCAAACTAGCAAGCTTTATGTGCCTTTTACTTGTTAATGATAACCAGATTATTCAATAACTCATTTAAGTATTGTCTTATGGATCAATCAGCCTCTTTGCTTCTTTTTTCTTGCCCTCACATCTAGTCATTACTTACTTCATCTTCAATCAGAGGGACTCAAGCCCAAAAATGTAAAACATCTAATAACTTATTGTTATTAAAAAGGCACATTAAAGAGATTTTCCTAGAGAAGATACTTAACTTCCAGGCCCAAAATAGGGGCTTTGAGTCCGCTGTGGATTTTGACTAGTTGTGTTTAATTTTAGCTCTCATCAGAAGTTAAAAAGCATAATGCTATTAAAGACTTGCTATTATCTTGTGTGTCTGTGTATGCATGTACGCATAGAACATAGTGAAATATGTAGTAATATTTTTTCTCATATGATCTTTGGAAGAAAACTGAAATCTTACTGAACTTTTGAAAACCAAGCCCAACATGTATGCAAGACCCTAAAACAAACACGAAATAGTTTTACAAGGAATGCAAGTTCAACATAACTTGGCAGTAAAACACTCTCAATCAATATTTCCTTGGCAGTTTCCTTATTCTTGATATTTTATGCATTACTTTCTGCCTCATTTAACAGAACTATTTAAGAGAATAGAATTAAACTATTAAATGAACTATTTAGATTTTTAATTACTGGGCAGAGAACAAAGATTTTACACTATTCATAACCAAACATTCACATAATAGTCAATATAAGGCTGCTTAAACAGAAAAAAATATAAATGCACTAACACCTCTATTTTTAATATAAAACAATTATCATAAAATTAGTTAACAATTTTAGTACTAAAGTATGATAGTTAAAATATTGTTTAAAAATGTCCCCCAAAATTTACAAGAGAGAATTTCCTATGCTGTTTACATTTTTAAATCTTAGGACTATGGGGGCAAAGGTGTAGCTCAGCAGCGCCACACCTGCCTGGCAAGTGCAAGGTCCTGAGTATGATACCTGGTATTGGAAAAAAAAAAAAAAATCTAATTATTTAGAATCCCCTTAAGGCATTGGCAGTATTTGGAAACTGAATACATTTTACCTTAAACTAGTAAAAGAAAATTACTGTACCTCGATCCCACGGCACCATCTCCAGAGTCTTGGCTTCCAGCTTCGCTTGGTGTGCTCACAGATTTGGAGGATGGAGACATAGGAGGAGGGACTAAATAGTGAAATAGACAGGTATCCGCTGTTACTACACGGAGAGGTTGCTCAGCTTATGACGTTTCAAAAATAATTTAACATGAAATAATTGAAAAAGGAAAAAGTAATGGCAAACCAAAAAAATAAAATATATGAATGAAAATGAACAGTAGAAAAGAAAGGGGAAAAGACAAAGTTAACAATGCATGCTGAAGATTCATGCAATTTCTCTGGCAAAATGCATTTGGGCTTTATATTTTTAGAAAAAGGGTAACAGTATGGAAGGATGCATCTTCATCTCATCCATCACCAAATGTGGCCACTAATTTTCAAAGGAGAGCATTCCTACTCCTCTTTCTAACTTCCCACTTTGAAGACCACCAGATTATATTATTTACAATTGTGGCCAAAATTAAAACCCTGAAATATACTTTATCAAGTCATTTAATAACTGGTTTTCTAAGATTTTAAATGTTATTTTTTTGCCTAACAATTTTTTTTCCAAAAATTGATATTGAAAATTATTTCATCCTGCCCACCATAAAAGGGCAGTTTAGAGAAATGAATGCAAGGAATGGCTCCTTTAAAATATCTATTAGTTTCCAGCAATTTGGATGAAAAATGCGAACAGGCCATAAAACAGCATGCCTTCTAGACATGATGCATAATATAAAGTGATGCATGCAAATTAAGGCAAGATTTATGGTAATTTCCTTACCCCAGTATTCAGAAAAAACTGAAGTGTACAGACAAAGATACAGACACCCAAAATATTCTTAATCCCCTCTTATAGAAAAATACACAGGTTCACAGTATATAAATAGCAAATGCTTTCTCCTGAACTGTCACCTTTTAACATTATATAACCGCAATGAACATGCACACTTCATGCTATCACATTTGGAAAACTTTTTGATTACCATTGCAGAGAGTATAGGAGGATCATCACTGCCATCTTCTGGTTAAATTTTATCATACATTTCCCTAATCCCAAGTATCTTTTTAAAATAATTTTTCAATGTACAATATTAAGTAACTTAATACATTTTATGTTGAAATGAAAGCCCTTCTTTTAATAGTCTTCTGAAGGGAAGGGAAGTTCCTAGTTATATAAGAACTAAAGAAATACGCATCGACTTAAAATTCTAGTTGTGGAATAGTCACATTCATTGAACTCTAAAAATCATTTAAGGAATTAAATACTTACACATGCTGTAATAAAAACAAAGAGCCTGGTAATCTAACAAAATGTACAAATGTAGTTTGATGAATTCTATCTTAAACACAGGTATAAACTCATCCTTTATTTTCTCAATAGTAAATTCTATTGGTAAACAGTAAGAGTAGATGAACAAAAATCATAGGTAGAATATTTATTCCCTGAGATAGGGGGTTCATTCTTACATTATCTTTAAATTTTCTATATTTGTCATCACATTTCAAAGGATAATAAAAATGTTTCTAATGTTGATTAAATCTATCAGAAACAATTACAATGTTAACTACAGATAGTTTCATATAGTTCATATGTGGATATAGTACTGTGCTAGGTGCTATATATGTGATTCAAAGTAGCTAAAAAGGACTTGTATCTAAAATAAAAGAATATTAATGTTCTCTATCTTCTCTAAGGTTATATTTCTTCATCTTTTCATTCATCTCTCACTGTAAGGCTTCCCCTAGGCCAAGTCCAAACTGATATAGAAGTAAAGAGTAATATCTACTAGTTGCTTGAGTGCTGTAAACATATATGTTTATTATAGTGTGGTACCATAATGGTTTCATATTAAAGATTTTCAAAGAAGAAATTGTTTTCTTTAAATTACAAACTCATACTTAGAAAAATAATTTTTCCAAGTATATAATTAGAGAAATTAGAAAAAGTAAAATTCCTATCAACCTACTTATTTGTGACTACAGAATCCTTTTCCTGTTTAATATGCTTGTTTAAAGTATCAATCATCCATTCATCAAGTTCAACAGAAATTTACTTCGTTAAGGCTGCATTTAAAAAAAAAAGTTAACCAAATTCTTTATAGAAACGGGCCATATAGTATTGTACATATATATAGATACATTAACCCAGCCAGTTCTGAAATAAAATTTTCAGAAAAAAAGAATAAATCAAAAGGGTGAGGGTACCAAATTATCATAGTTTCTCAGCCAAAACAAGGGAAAATAAATCATCATGACTTTAAATTTGTATTAAAAATAAAAAACAATCTCGTCCCAGAACTATAGTGTTTGTGTTGAAAGACAGTTTAAAGCCAGCTGATGGCTTTAAAGGCATCTTCATAAAAAAACTCTTAGCTATCATCTAGCTCACCAACTTCATCTTGTAACAGTAAGTAATGTGTATACCACAGAAGAGACAAATCTAGCAAAAGAAAATTTCTATCATTGTAAAAGGAGAAATTCTCACAGAAAGAAAAAAAGGGAATGGTAGTGCTATTTGGTAACCACATTTTACCCAGTTAGTCTAAAAAAAAAAAATCAAAGACTACAGTAATTATGCCATAAGATGATACCCACTATACTCTCAGACTTCAACATACCCCTGAAAATAAATAAAAGCATGAATTCGAGGTGGTAAAAGAAAAACAAAACCAAGAATAAATAAATAAATAAATAAGAAAACCCCCCAAAACTGAAATCACAGGCTCTCAAATCTAAGAAAATTCACTTCTGGAATTCATTTTTAAGGACAGTTTTGAGTTCAATGTACTTTGAAAATAACACAAACCATTAATAAGTAGTTTTTGCCATGATTTGCTTAGTAAGAACAGAGATTCAGGGCTGTAGTTTTAGCTCAGTGGTTCCGTCGCCTGCCTCTCAAGCGCAAGGACCCAAGTTCGATCCCTGGTATCAAAAAAAAAAAAAAAAAAAAAAACCCCAGAGATTTAACCAGATTATCTTTACTGTGTATAAAATAGCCTAAAACAGATTTGACACAAAATAAAGGAACTGACATAAACTTATGAGTATGTGAATGAATTTAAGCCTCTCAGAAGTTTAGAGCAAAGACATCACTTATATCCTTGAGAACCAAGGGAGAAATTTGAATGGGGAAAAAAAAAACCCCAAAACTGTATCATGGCGTTCACTGATCATGTAAACAATATTGAAATACTGTCACTCTTTAATTCTTTAGGATAAAAAGCCACTGAAGGACCCAGGATTTAGTTCAGTGGCACCCCTAAGTTCGATCCCCAGTACTGGAAAAAAAAAAAAGCCAATTCAGATGACTTTTCCAGCCAGTTAAAGACCTTGGTCTTCAAGGATATGAAATTCATATTGCTGTCTTTTGGCACATAAAGAAACAATAAGAATGTTTTTAAACTGTAAAGAACCTGAGAATGCACCTAGATTTAGAATTAGCATTAAGCCTGAATCACACAGAACTACACATGATTCTCGAGGATGAAGGATGGTGTACACTCCCAGTTATTTTTCAAGTAGAAGAAAATCTCTGGGAAAAAGGGCCTTTTGCCAGGAAAAAGCCATAGAAAAGGTAAACAGCCAAGGAACATGAATGTAAGGAGTGCAAGCACTGGTAGAAGAAAGTGAAATGGAAGAAGCGAGCCTAGAATAACCCAAAGTTGTGAGGTCTCTTCTAGCTTATCAATGATACCCAGTACTCAAGTGCAGCCCACATTACAATTTATGCCTCCTTGTGGATATAAGTGCTCCTAGCCTAGAAAATTATTTAAATAATTTTTTGTGGTACCTTACTTTTATCCTTCTGAAAGATGTAGCTTTAAATATTAATTCTTTTGAAATACTAAGTTCTCCCTTTCCTTATGCCCCTTCTGATAATGAAGATTAAATATTCTCTTTAATGTGATTCAGAGCATTAATTTTTCAAAATAAATAAATAAATGCTTATAATATTAAAATACTATTAGGAACCAAAATTCCTTTTCAAGGAACAATTTGAATTATAAATACTGAACAATAATACTAAAGGTTTAGGCATATGTTTAAGGATTATGAAATGTATTTAGCCTAATTTTCCAAAGACAGTAAGATCTGTTAGAGCCTTTATAGGTTTCATTATAATGGTAAATCTTCCAATAACAGATGGAAAATGGTTTAAAAATAAACTCTAAAAAACAAGGAAAAGATGAATATGGATCTGACTAGGAAACAAATCTTAAAAAAAATTTTGAGATGGGGTGGGAGTCGGGGGTGGGTCTTGCTAAATTGCCTAGGTGGCCTTGAACACTTAATCCTCCCATCTGGTCTCTTAAGTACCTGGGACTACAAGAACACACCACCCAACCAGTTAAACACTAAAACCTTAAACAGCATAACCTTATTAATGAACGTACAGCAGGTCCTTTGAGCATTTCCCTAGCTATCTGAAGAGACTCTTAAATCGATGTTAATCAGCTTACTCTGCTTTATTAAACATAATCTTGCATGTCTTAACATTATTTAAAATTTCAAATAAGTATCAAAAGTTCGGGCCAGGGATTTAGCTCAGTAGTTCTGCTGCCTGCCTCACAAGCACAAGGTCCCAGGTTCCATCCCCAGTACCAAAAACAAACAAACAAAAAAACAAATAAGTATCAAAAGTTAAAGCAAGGACATTTGGCTTCTTTTTCAAACTTATTTGTTTACTGCTTCCATGAACTGAATCTCTACTCTTTTTTATTTTTATTTTTTTAAGACAAAGTCTTCCTGTGGAGTATAGGCTGGCCTTGAATGTGCTAGGCAGCCTCGGCTGGCAGTGAACTCATGATCCTTTTGCCCCAACCTCTGTGCTGGGATTACAGACACATGCTCCCACACCTGGCCCTGAATCTGTACTCTTAATTATTGAGAACTAAAATCTTTCAAGTCAAATAGTATTTATAATAAACTGATATTTAATCAGGAAGATACTTTGCTTTCCTGCCCCCTAAAAACCTTTGATACAAATAATGCCATACCATTATTCTAAAAAATGTATTAATTACAGTATAATAATATATTTATAAAATTATAGGCGATAAAAATTACCATTTTGCCCACTCT